TGTATCACACTACCCTAGAATGCCTACTGTTTAATCCAGCACGTTGTAAAGAACTGCATAGCTTTACTGGATTGATTGAAATGCTGGTAACCACATTATAGTAACATTTCCAGTTGATACTTTTTTAAGATTGACTATTGGTAGGCGGCATGTCCAGTGGATAGAGCACAGGAGACCTAGGTTCTCATCCAGGCTCTGGAAGTGACACAGATGACTTCTCTGCACCTTAGTTTCTCCATCTGTCAAAATGGGATAACACTAAAAACATTAAAAATCCTTGTGAGCTAGGTAAACTAGAGGCAGTAAGTGAGTAACCAAGGTGTCAGTGTTTAGAAATTGTATTATCCATAATATATATGGATAATATATATTGAGATCAATGAATAGAGCGTGCTGTATAAGTGCAAACATTGTTTTCAACATGAAACATTTCATCACGCATCCACTGAGTCAGTGCTAACATGCCATTAGTTTATGCTGTCAGACTTACATTCAGGGGAGCTTGTAATACCCTTGGCAGGATAACCTTGAGACTCTGGTTTGTGAATTTCTACACCTTCAACTCAGGGGTTGTATGACATTGCATATCATTTGACATTAGCTATAATATTTAGTATGATATGTAAACAAATTCACCATGCCTTCCAAGGCTGCCAATCCTTCAATGAGAACAGGAGTACTTGTGGCACCTTAGAGACTAACAAATTTATTAGAGCATAAGCTTTCGTGGGCTACAACCCACTTCTTTGGATAGTTTGTAGTACATGTACGCTCACCATACACCAGCATGTCAGCAAGAGGAAAAGATGGGTAGAGGGAGACCTGTGCTAGCTCGGCTTATTCTGGAAAAGTCTGTTTCCTTTGGTTGTAAGTGAAAAGTAACTAACAGTTTGGGAGCCGATGGAAGATTGTTTACATGTTCTAGTTACAATAGCATTTTTGAGAGACTGTTTGCTCCCTCTACAGTAGGAAGTGGGAAATGCACAATGAACTCATCATGAAATCTTTACCACGGACATTAAACCACTATGATAGGTTTCAGAGTAGCAGCCGTGTTAGTCTGTATCCGCAAAAAGAACAGGAGTACTTGTGGCACCTTAGAGACTAACAAATTTATTAGAGCATAAGCTTTCGTGGGCTACAACCCACTTCTTCGTATGCAAGGTTTTAAACCACTATGGGATTTAGGGAGAAGAGAGACATGTTTCTGGTGTTTCTGTGTTACCTAGTCTCAGGGCCGGCTCTAGGCACCAGCAAAACAAGCTGGTGCTTGGGGCGGCACATTTTTAGAGGTGGCATGGCCGGCGCCAGAATGCCGCCCCTAAAAATGTGCCCCGGCCGCCCTAGCTCACCTCCGCTGCTGCTGCCACGGTGCGCGAAACAGCTGATTCGCGCGCCGCTGCTCCCCCTCCCTCCCAGACTTGAGAGCCTGAGAGGGAAGGGGAGAAGCGACGCCCGCGCTGCGGCCACTTGGAGTCTCCCCCTTCCTCCCAGGCTCTCAAACCTGGGAGGGAGGGGGAGACTTCGAGTGGCCGCGGCGCGGGAGCCGCTTGTCCCCCTCCCTACTAGGCTTGAGAGCCTGGGGGGAGGAGGCAGGGCTGGGGATTTGGGGAAGGGGCGGAGTTGAGGCGGGGCCGGGGGTGGGGTAATTAAAAAACGGGGGGGGGGGGGGCGGCCAAAATTGTTTTTGCTTTGGGCGGCAAAAATCTTAGAGCCGGCCCTGCCTAGTCTCCAGTCCTCCCTCGTTAATAGTGGGCTGGACAAACATGGATCTACTTCCAATTTTACTTGACTATCCGGTGAACCTGGCAATTTGTAATTCCATTGCCTACAATTATTACATAGCTGCCGATCTAGCTTCAGTCACGAGGTATTGCTCTATTCTCACCCTAATACACTAGCACTATGAAGATTCCTAATCCCAACTAGTGCCAGACCATTACAGCCCTGCGCAGATACAAAATTTGTATCCGCATCCAATCCACAATCCAAAAAATAATCTGCGGATGCAGATATCTGGCAGATTTGCAGAGCTCTACAGACCATCTTAATCTAATAACGGTCTACTTGTCCACTTCTTGGAGTTCTTAGCTCTCTGTTATTCAGATCCAACACTCTCAGTGACTGGTTTGATCAGGAGACCAAGCATGTGGCTTCTGGTGCCAAAGAAAATTCAGTGTCCAAAACTGAAGTGATGTCAGTTGATTAAAGGGTATGAGCAGGACCTTCCTATCCATATGGGGAGTGGGAGGGTGGTACCCACTGGGGAGGAGAGGTGCAGGACCCCAAGGGGAGCAGGACCCCTCCGCCCGTTGCAGGGGGGGGTGCAGGACCCCCCAGGGAGGAGCTGGGAGCCCCTGCCCGTTGTGTGTGTGTGTGGGGGGGA